TCACGTGAGACCAAAGGTTTTCTGTGAGACTCGCAACACCAATTTATGTTCATTGATCAACTTTATAAGTGGCAATTTTGTGATTATTGAGAAGTCTCGTGGCAATTTTGTGATTATGAATGTTCAGATTGTAGATTTAATCCAAGAGTTGAGAATTGGTCTTACGAGTCACACACATATATATATATATATATATATACACACACACACACACATATATATATATATATATATATAGGGGCTTAATCAAATGAGAACTGATTANATATATATATATATATATATAGGGGCTTAATCAAATGAGAACTGATTAGTTTGTGGTAATTGTGAGATCCAATCTTAACCACAAATCAATGGATAAATTAGGAAATCAATAATTATGGTAGTTTGAGTTAAAATTATAATTAGAGGGCATTTTAGGTATTTTTAAAAAACTCTTCTCTCCTCTCTTCTCTCTCATCTCTCATCTCTCCGACCTCCAATCTCCGGCCTCCGGTGAACAAAAATCCGGCAGATACTAAATAATCATAAAGATACACAATGTGATACCCATTATGATATACAGTGGTACTCAAATGGTATCACAGTATATCACAATGGGTATCATAGTATATCACAACGGGTATCACATTGTGTTATCTTTGTGATTACTTAGTACCTGTCGGATTTTTGTTCACCGGAGGCCGGAGATTGGAGGTCGGAAGAGGAGAGAGAAGAGAGGAGAGAGGCTTTTTTAAAAATACCTAAAATGCCCTCTAATTATAATTTTAACTCAAACTATCATAATTATTAATTTTATAATTTATTCGTTGATTTGTGGTTGAGATTGGATCTCACAGTTACCACAAACTAATCAGTTCTCTCTTGAATGGACCCCTATATATATATATATATATATGTGTGTGTGTATATATACATTTTTAAAATGTATAATTCTTATATTATTTAATTTAATGACAATTTTATCCTTGATGATAAAAAAAAGTAATGGAATTTTCATTTTCATTTTGTAGTTAAAAGTGGAATAGAAAAGCAAGAATTTACTTTTAAAAGTGACATTGTTTTGGGACAAATAAAAAATGTGGATACTTATTTTGGGATAAAGAGAATATAAATTTTTTTGCCTCAAACGATGTATAATATATTCTCTTTTGTCCCAAAATGTTCATAATAAAAAAGACCATGATTTTAGGATTATAATATTATTACGATTTTTAATTGAGTAAATGATAATTTTACTCTTAAAATGGAGGAAATAATGAATTTCTTTATGTTACAACTAAGTGTAGAAGTTAAAAGCAGACGTTTATCTTTTGGGGTTGAGTCCGGATGAGAATGAGAGTTATGGTGAAAATGCTAATGCGAAGCACTTGATCAATTCCCTTCATCAATCCTGATTGAAGAGTTCCGCTGGATCAAATACTAATGAGAAGCACTTGATTAATTCCCTTCTAAAGTGCAATTCCTTGGTTGTTTTGAGATTAAAAGTGATTAATGGTTCAAATTTCTTCTTAGACTTCTTATTTTGACTCATATTTTCACATGATCATTCGTCTTACTTTTTGAAAGTATACATTTATTTTGAGGTAAAATAAATAGACATGTGAATACTAAAATGGTTCACGAGCTTCATCTGAACTAAATCAACCAATGCGATAGTCAATGTCAAAATCGTGGCTCGCAAAAATCTCAAGTTGACTTGAGCGATGGTGTCGTTGTTCACCTCGACATGAGTGTCACCGTCTCTGTTGTCCTTATAATTATATGCTATATTACTAATTAAACTTTAATAAATAAATAAATCGGTAAGGTACAATATTATCGTGATATTTGAATTTTAATATCACGTACCAAGTTTAGATAGTAAGTAAGGTACTATCAACTAATTAAATTAATACCAATTGAATTGATATGATTAATATTTATCTTCGATATAAAATTAACACCCCACTTTACCCTTGAAATTTTCCAAAAGTTTCTCCTTTACAAACACCATCATAGACTCAAGGGCTGTTCGGTAAGAGCTTAATAGGTTGTATAATGAATATGGCTTGTTCGTACAACCATATCTAGCTGTTCAGACTGGGCTTATTCGGTCAGCCGATGGGTGATTCGCTCAACTTGAAAAATCCTTCTCCTATAGACTCATCCATTAAATTGCATTAATTTTCCCCAACTACTCACATTAAACTCCTGTACAGGGCTCCTTCCCCATCGACGCTCCTCCCATCTACACGCCTCCTCCACATCTAGCTTCTAGCCCTCCGTTGTCACCGGCGTTCGACTGGTTCCAGCCCTCGCCGGGTGTTGATCTTCCAACCTTATTGTCGAAGAAACCCACAACTGAAGAAATATCCCACAACAGGTCTGGTATAGTGGCAACTATAGAAGTTTGATATTGGGGACTTAGCACAAAGGTTTGGAAATCATCCACAAATCCTTTTTCTTTCTTTCTTCTGTGATTCCTCATCCATTTTGGGTTTTAAATTAATGGATTTTGTATTAATCAACAAATGTGTTTTGTATCGATTATTGGTGCTTTTTATAAATTTATATGTTTATGCGTTGTTTTTCTTCTGTTATTGTGTATGTTCATACGAAGAAGAAATATGATTGGGAACTTGGGATAATGAACAATAAATTAATTTTTTTTTGTTAATGAAAAAGCTAAAAAATGGAAAAGATAAAATGATCGTTTATATTATTCAGACTGTTTATTTAACACTACAACCGAACAATAATTTATCTGTTATCATGCAGACAACTTTATCCATACAAGTTTTAGTAGAAACCGAACCGAACAATCCCTCACATTGGTTGCGTGTGTTTTTCCTAAATTAAATGAGTAAAGATCTAAAGGAAAAAAGGATATAGAGTAAGTAAACCACAAATTTGGTCCACGTGGTTTATCAAAAATAAAACTTTATATTTCTGTAGTTTTGAAATTACAGATGATCATTATGGTTTATAAAAACGTCTGGATTTGATTCATTCCTCTAAAGGTCGTTAATTTTTTAGTCTTTCCATCAATTTTTTGGTTGTTATCGAATCAACAACCACAAAGATTAAAATTTTAAAATCGATTTTGATTTTGGATTAAAGGCACATAATCGATAAAAGAACGAAAATCCCTTTGTAGCCACGGAGGTTCAAAGGTCAAAGTACCAGGAGGTCCCAGGTTCAAATCCAAGGAAGAATAAAAATCCCCTTGTGGCCATAGAGGTTCAAATGTGATGACTCCAGGCTATCTACAAAGTAGGTGGTCGCTCTGGGATTAGTCGGCTTGCATAATGGGTTGGATATCCAGGTTAATAAAAAATGCTCATCATTTAACAGAACTTTTTAACATATATTAGAGAAAACGATCAAATTTGAACGTTTTTAGAAACAATGATAGCTATTTGGTAATTATGAAATTGCAGGGACAAAAAATGTTATTTTTTACAACCAATAGGGACCAATTTTTTGTGATTTTTTCAAAAATATATATATTCTGAAATTAGATATATAGATATCTGCCATAGAAGGATCCCGAAGCTTCTTCATGTTTCGAAGCCATGATCGATCTGAACGAGCCATCTTGAAAGTTCTCGGAGATACCGTCATCGAATATATATACCCTACCCCTCAAAACCACAAATCAAAATCAGCAACAACTGAATTAGAGAAATCTCCAGCCAATCAAGCTATAGCCAATTGTTCTTGCTAAGATTTTAAAAGATGTCGATCATTCCAAGCCTCTTCAATGGCCGACGAAGCAACGTCTTTGATCCATTTTCACTTGACATTTGGGACCCTTTCAGAGACTTCCCAAATCCATCTTCCTCTGATGTCTCCTCTGCTTTCGTAAACACCCGTGTGGATTGGAAGGAAACCCATGAAGCTCATGTGTTCAAAGCCGATCTTCCAGGGATCAAGAAAGAAGAAGTGAAGGTGGAGGTAGAAGACGGAAGGGTCTTACAAATCAGTGGCGAGAGGAACGTGGAGAAGGAAGATAAGAATGATAGATGGCATCGGGTTGAACGCAGCAGCGGAAAGTTCACGAGGAGGTTCAGGTTGCCGGAAAATGCTAAGATGGATGAGGTGAAGGCAGCCATGGAAAACGGAGTGCTCACAATTACTGTCCCCAAGGAAGAAGTGAAGAAGCCTGATGTGAAATCTATTGAAATCCGTGGTTAAAAAAGATGAATCAGATTATCATGTCCAAGAGTGTTTGTGTACTGTCTTTTTGGTATTTGGTATGTGTAGAAGGTGTTCGCTGAAATGCACACCTGAATTGGTATATATGTTTCTTGTTGTTTAATCAATAAAATGGTTTGTAACCAATTATAAACTCTTATCAATTTTTAACTTGAAACGTTTTCATCATACATTTATAAAAACTAACGAGTAAACGCGTGTAACTCGATACATATGTAGATAACAAGTGCCGAAGGCACCAAGACCACCAACGGTCCAACCGCAGCAACACCGTACCAATTCCAACAATCCAATTTCCCGAGCTTGATCTGAATCAAATCGACCAACGCGAGAGTCAAAAACAAACATCCCGATGCGGATCCAAAAGCCGACAAAATCCCAGCTCGTAAAACTCTCAAATTGACGTGAGCGATGGTCCCATCGTTCACCTCGACACGGGTGTCGCCGGATYTAGCTGTCCTAATAGCCTGTTTGAGCCCAAAAGCAATTAGGCTGGAGAACAAGAACGAACTAAAAGAGTAGACATGGAAGACGATGAGGTTTTCAGCGGTGGAAGACGGCACGAAGCAGGCGGTGTCGGAGGAATCAACGAGGGTGTACGTTGGGTCGGTGGGGTTGACGGCAAAGCCAAGGAAGAGGCCGAGGGTAAAGAGGGAATTAACGTTAACGATGCCGTCCAACGCCATAAGATGGATGGTGTGGTGGTGCTCTTTAGTTTATGGCGGCCGGTGGTCATCCGGTTGATAGTAGCTCTACGGATTTAAAAAAAAATTGGTTGCAATTGGAGGGGGTGATGTAGGCTGAGCCTTGAAGGAGGAATTCAGAAGGTTTGCGTCTAGTTACCGGCAAGGAAGAGAGGAGTGCATGGAAATACAAGCTTTAATTTTAAAAAACGACGCCGTTGCCGGGGATCGAACCCGGGTCACCCGCGTGACAGGCGGGAATACTTACCACTATACTACAACGACTGACCTGCGTAACTTTTTATTTTTTATTTTTTAATTTTTAATTTTATCTAATTATAAAATAATATTTATTAGCTGATCTAGCCAAAAATCAGTCTCAAGTCGTTTCCAAGATTTCTCATAACCGGCTATAACCGATCACGGTCAAATAGATGAAAACGGGTCAGGCTAGTTTATAACCAGTTATGGGCCATGCGCCGGTCCCGTCCCACCCTTAAAAAATATTTTTTAATAATATATATTTTTAATACATTATTAAATTTGTCGTATGTATCACTCAAATACACTTTAAAAATATGTTTTATTACGAGAATTGTGAACATTTTTTATGTTTTTTACGAATTAAGAACTTGGTATGTAAATCTCTCAACCTTGTTACATATTTATAGAGTTTAGAGGCAAAAAAAAAAAAAAGTCAAAAAAGACTAGTTAACGGCTATATTTAAAAAATGTCGTTTTTTTAAATATTTCGGGCCAAGCTGGGCCGTCCATATAATACAAACATTCAGGTAAATTTGTGAGTTTTACCTTAGTTGATTCAAATGATGGGTTCGTGCGATTAGCAGTGAAGTTCACCAAGCTCATGAGCTTATTATCTCCCAGATACCGTCACTGCTTCTTCCCCTGGAAAAGAAGTTCACCTTGGTTATATTTCATCTATTCAACAAGTTTAGCAATGAGCATAATGGTCCTATTGTTCTGATGGAGAGAGCATCAAATTTACCTCTACGGGTGAATATGATACAGTACCATGTTTTTTTTCTTCTATATATCATGTAGCAATCAATTGTAAATTGATATGTAAAATTTTATATTATGTACGAACTAACCATACTTTTTTTTTGGTTAACCTGGATATCCAATCCGCTATGCAAACCGACTAATCCTAGGGCAACCATCTGCTTTGCAGATAACCCAGAGTCACCGCATCTGAACCTTCGTGGCCATAAGAGAATTTTTATTTCTCATGGATTTGAACCTGAGACCTCCAGGTACTTTTGACCTTTGGAGTCAAACTCAAATCAATCAGGCACCATCCTTGTTGTTCGAACCAACCATAGATTAGACAAATGAATTCAATCAAATTCTATATATCCATCTGTATTATAATTTAGCAAAATTTAAAACAAGTTAATTTAAAATTTTAAAATCAAAGTATATTGTATTAGTAATTAAACTTTAATAAATAAATAAGTCGGTAATGTACAGTATTATCGTGATACACGACTTTTAATATAACGTATCAACCAAGTTTAAATAGTTAGTAAGATAATACTAACTAATTAAATTGATACTAACTAAGACGCCGTTTACCAAACACATATCCGGTAAGCACCCAACGGTAAAATTCAACATTATTATTTACTTATCGGGTAAGATGTTAGTCAACAAAAACGGCTTTCTATGCAACAATTTATTTGGTAAGAATTGACCGTGGTAAGAGTCATTGCCCTCACTTATCGGGTAAGACTCTCGGTCATTACCTTGCTCTTATCGGGTAAGATTTTTGGTTATTGCCATGATCATCCGGTAAGATAATGTAATTTGGTAAGCGCTTACCCGAATAAACATTTAATAAACGGCTCCTTGTATTTTCCAAAAGTTTCTCCTTTACAAACACCATCACAGACTCACATTGGTTGTGTGTGTAATTCCTAAATTAAATGAGTAAAGATTTAAAGCAAAAAAGGATATAGAGTAAGGGACCGTTTACTGAATACTTATCTGGTAAGCGTTTATCGGTAAAATTAATACTATCATTTATTTACTGAGTAAGATTTTAGTCCACCAAAACGGTATCACATGCATCAATTTACCCCGTAAACGCTTACCATTGTAAGAGTCGTTGCCCTCACTTACCGGGGTAAGACTCTTGATCCTTGTTTTGCTTTTATCAGGTAATATTCTTGTTCCTTACCACATTTATCCGACAAAGTAATATGACTTGGTAAACGTCTTACCCAAGTAAGCGTTTGGTAAACGACTCCTAAGTAAACCACAAATTTGGTACCTGTGATTTGTCAAAAATAAAACTTTATATTCTTATAGTTTTAAAAGTACAGATAATCATCATGGTTCATAAAAACGTCTAGATTTGATTCATTCCTCTAAAGGTTGTTAAATTTTTCTGTTAAATAAAGGGCACTTTAGTCTTTTTATAAGTTTTCTAGCTGTTATCGAATCAAAAACCATATAGACTAAAATTATAAAATCGATTTTGATTTTGGATAAAAGACAAATAATCGATAAAAGAACGAAAATGTTCATCATTTAACATAACTTTTTAACATACATTAAAGTAAATGATCAAATTTGAACGTTTTTACAAACCACGATAGCCATCTTGTAATTATGAAATTGCACGGACAAAAAGTGTTATTTTTTACAACCAATATATATATATATATATATATATATATATATATATATATCTGGCATAGAAGGATCACGAAGCTTCTTCATGTTTCGTAGCCATGAATCATGATCCATCTGAACGAGCCATCTTGAAAGTTCTCGGAGATACTGATCGAATATATATACCCTAGCCCTCAAAACCACAAATCAAAATCAGCAACAACTGAATAGAGAACTTCCCAGCCAATCAAGCTAAAGCCAATTCTTCTTGCTAAGGTTTTAAAAGATGTCGATCATTCCGAGCCTCTTCAATGGCCGACGAAGCAGCATCTTTGATCCATTTTCACTTGACATTTGGGACCCTCTAAGAGACTTCCCAAATCCATCTTCCTCTGATCTCTCCTCTGCTTTCGTAAACACCCGTGTGGATTGGAAGGAAACCCCTGAGGCTCATGTGCTCAAAGCCGATCTTCCAGGGATCAAGAAAGAAGAAGTGAGGGTGGAGGTAGAAGACGGAAGGGTCTTACAAATCAGCGGCGAGAGGAACGTGGAGAAGGAAGATAAGAATGATAGATGGCATCGG